CCCTCACAGCCCCGGGCTGTCGGGCCTCACCCTCTCCCTTCCCGTGCGGGGTCGGCTGCCAGGGCCCCTTGCGGCATGGGGCGGTTGGCAGGAGCCTTGCCCTGGGCTTACTGCCTCGGTGTCCCTGATGTCAGCGAGGCATCATTCTGCTGCCCACCATCCCGCAGAAGGAGAGGGCACCGAACTCGAAATGGTTTGCTTCACAACAGCCTCCTGTTGGTACTAGCTTACCACCTTCGTGAAGAGCGCAGCGTCCTTCTCCCACGGGGGCAGACCCAAACTCGGTCCTGAGCGACAGTGCCTTCGCGCACATTGAGGAGTGCAGGTTAGGGAAGGCCCATTTATTGTACCTAGTGGAAAGCAGTGAAAACCAATTTTCTGGGAAAGCTGGGTCAGTACATTATTCCATAAGGCTGGATTTTGGTTTCAGTGTCAACGTTTTTAATCCTAATTACCTTTGGGATAGTATGGTTATGACTGATAGGGTGATTCAGTTCAGTTAGTTATAATAGCGTTTTAGGAATTGTCAGATGTTTGACAACTCTTTTCTAGTTGTGAGGCCAGGTTTAGGAGGATTATTTTATTAGGGATGATAGTTACTTTTGATGTTGGAAGCATTCTTTTTAATTTTAAGAAAATTGTTGTTACACAAAGGTTGTCACATATTGGATATTTCTCTACTTTGTACACAATTATTACATAATTGGATATTTCTCTACTTTGTACACAATTATTACTCACCACAGAAAGGCTGCTTAACTTTTTAAAATTTTTTTTATTGATTAAGTTATTACATATGTGTAAGGCTGCTTAACTTTTCACTGGATGATGGCAAGCATGAAAATCCTCATTTTAACAGAATAGTAGTAAAAATGCCTCTGATTTAAGTTGAAAGATGTATATTGGTACATGGCTCTTACACTTAGTTATCTGGAAAGTACAAATATCTTTTTATAAAAAAATACAAAACAAATTATGTGTAGGCATGGATAATGAATGACAGCAGTAAATCTTTATATATGTTGTCAACTAAAACCAGTAACTGATGGTTATAGTGATGTTAAACATTAGCCATCCTTTTCTTCAGTCATTTTCTTCAAGGGACTTCTCTGAAGCACTACCTTGAGCTTCCTCTCACAGTTCTCACTGATAATGGTAAAGCACTGTTCTAGGCTTAGAACACGCCACCTCCCATACACCTCCTATTCCACCCATTTCACCCATTGCAGCGTCTTTCTCTTCTTTAGGAATTTCTGTGACTACAACTTCTGCTGTGGTTAACAGAGAGGCCATTCTAGTACCATCCAATAAAGCAGTTCTTACAATCTTCATTTGCTCAATGATTCCTTTTTATACCATATTCGCAGAATCTCCAAGCACAGTGTCATAGCCACCTTCTGAGGAACTTTGCATAATCTTTTTCAACTATTCACAATCCCTCAACACCTGCATTCTTAGCAATGTTTATTGCAGGAATTTTGAGTGCTTTTTAAAAAAATAATTTCTATACCAATTTTTTTATTTTCATGGATTTAATGAGTCCAAGGCTGGAATGGACTGAAGCAGGGCACAACCCCTTCCCAGAGCAATGTCTTCTTCAACAGCAGCTTGTGCAGCATTGAGGGCATGTTACTCTCTTTCTTTTCATTCATTTCCACATCACTTGTGCCAGCAAACTTCACAGCTACTCCATCTGTGAGTTTTGCCAGACATTCATTTAGTTTTTCCCATGTTACTCTCTTTCTTTTCATTCATTTCCACATCACTTGTGCCAGCAAACTTCAGCACAGCTACTCCATCTCTGAGTTTTGCCAGACATTCATTTAGTTTTTCCTTTTCATATTCCTTTTCAGATATCTAACTGTTGGATGATTTCTTGAATATGTTTTAAAATTTGAGCCATGTCACCTTTTCCTTTCAAGAGCATGGCATCATCTTTGGTCACAGTGACCTCTCCAATCTTTCCTAACATGAGGCTGAACATTTTCAAAATTTAGGATTAATTCTTCTTCTCCAAACACTGCACCACCAGTAGCAATAGCCATGTCTTTAAGCTGGTTCTTTCTATTGTCACCAAAACCTGGAGCTTTGACTGCTACAACCAGAAAACGAACTTTTAGCCTAGTCAAAATGAGTGTACTTAGAGCTTCTCCATCAACATCTTCGGCAATTATGACCAGGGCTTACGGTGAGCATTGGCAGTTTCAAGAGCAGGTACAATGGACTGAACTCTGCAAATTTTCTTTCCACTCAATTGAACATAGGCATCTTGGAATTCACATTTCTGACCTTTTGATGTATTAATGAAGTATGGGGAAATATAACCTCGATCAAATTTCCATGCCTTCAGTAATTTCTAATTCATCATTCAGTGTTTTTCCATCCTTTAACTGTGATGATGCTGTTTCTTTCAACCTTTTTCATTGCATCAGAAATGATGTTGCCAATTTCTTTGTTTCCATTTGCAGAAATCATAGCAACCTGAGCAATTTCTTCAAGGGTTGTCACAGGTTTAGACTGTTTCGTAAGTACAGCAATTACAGCATCAACAGCTAACATCACACCTGATTTCCACTGGATTAGCACCTTTGCTAATTTTCTCAAAGTCTTCCCTGGCAGCAGAGTGTGCCAATACAGTAGCAGTAGTGGTGCCTCTTCATTTTTATTATTGGCAACATCTTGAACAAATTTAGTGCCAATATTTTTGTATTTATCTTTTAAGTCAATGGACTTTGCAATGATCACACCATCTTTTGTTACTTTGGGACTTCCCTAACTCTGTCCAGTCAGTGATCACTGTTCTTCCCTTTGGCCCCATAGTAACAGCTACAGCATCAGCTAAAAGGTCTACACCTTACAGCAGGGGTGGGGAACCTTTTTTCTGCAAAGGACCATTTGTATACTTATAACATCACTTGAGGGCCATACAAAATTATCAGTTTAAAAATTAACATGCTATATTTGGTTAAACATTTGGTTAACTCACCCCTAATGCCTTGGCAGGGCCAGACCTAATGATTTCGGCCCAGGGACCGGACATTCCCAACCCCTGCCTTAAAGCATTAAGGCTAAAGTATCTGTATCAAAATTTATATCTCTGGCATAAGCCCGAGTTCGATAAGGAGCCAGTGCCCTAATCTGGCAAAGGACTTCATGTAATTGAAGCATTTCTGTGGGGTTAGCAACAGGGCATGTGAGCAGTGAGGCAGGCTGTGGCAAGTGAGGATGAAAGCATTGTTTTTATACTAGAGGCCCGATGCACCAAGATTCGTGCAAGAATGGGCCTTCACTCTGCCTTCCCACACTGCCCAGAGGCCCAGAGGCCCAGAGCGGATGGGGCAGTGTGGAACACCTGCGTCCCGCCCCGCCCCCTGCCGCTTGGAGCCTGCGTATGCAAACTAATCTGCCATCTTTGTTTTATTAGTTTGCATACCCACTCCTGATTGGCTGGTGGGCGGCGTGAAGGTGCGGTCAATTTGCATCTTTCTCTTTTATTAGTGTAGATTAGAGGCCCGGTGCACGAAATTCGTGCACTGGGGATGGGTGGGGGGTCCCTTAGCCCAGCATGTGTCTGTGGGGTTAGCAACAGGGCATGTGAGCAGTGAGGCAGGCTGTGGCAAGTGAGGATGAAAGCATTGTTTTTATACTAGAGGCCCGATGCACCAAGATTCGTGCAAGAATGGGCCTTCACTCTGCCTTCCCACACTGCCCAGAGGCCCAGAGGCCCAGAGCGGATGGGGCAGTGTGGAACACCTGCGTCCCGCCCCGCCCCCTGCCGCTTGGAGCCTGCGTATGCAAACTAATCTGCCATCTTTGTTTTATTAGTTTGCATACCCACTCCTGATTGGCTGGTGGGTGGCGTGAAGGTGCGGTCAATTTGCATCTTTCTCTTTTATTAGTGTAGATGATTTGGAATTGTGTCCAAAGGCAGATTAAATCTCTAGAGACTTAAACTTTTTTTTCCTGCCCTCAAACTTTAGAGGTTAAGAACTCTGATTTGAAAGTTGCTTCACTTTTATTATTTCATGCTTTGCCATAAAATAGAGGTGTTCTTTCTTGGGTTTCTCTCCACCTCTAGGATGCTATGCTGGAAGTGGATTTGAAATAAATGAGGAAGTAGGTGGAAATTTCTTTGGTTTGATGATCAAAGCCTTTTATGCTCTGTAAATATTCTAGTTGGTCTGATTTGGCCTGATACTGAAGCAAGATGGACATCACAGCAGGAGTGGGGGTATTTTATAGAAATATAACCCATTTGTTTTTATTGTCATGGGTCATAAACTTTTATTTCTTATTCTCATTGAACTTAAAGGAAAGGGTTTTGAGCGAAGTAAATGGAATCCTCATTTTCACCCCATTCTTTCACATTTATGTAATATAATACCTATCATTTGCCTTATGTAGTCATTGAACATATGTACTCTGGGCTAAGAATTGAGGATAGAAAGATAAGTCAAGATCCCTAGCTTCATGTTGCTGACATAATTGTGATGATCATGAGCATGTATAAAAGAACAAGAAGGATAATTTCAGATGGTGATCCATGACATAAGGAAAAAACCAGGCTGGTATGACACTAGGGATGAGGCGTGCCTTTAGGCAAGGAAGGAAGGCCTTCCTAAGAGAGTAACAGTCTAAGATGAGAACTTATGATGGAAAACAAGAAGCTAGCCTTGCAAAGATAAGTATTAAGTGTAATATTTAAGCTGGAGGAAAAAGTAATGCAGTCATGGGTAGGGGATGAGCTTGACAAGTTCCAACATTCAGTGAGGGTCTTCTGGTACATGCAGAATGAAATAACCTGTTATTTACCCAACCTGAAATCTTTAAGGGGGAAGTTCTCATTGCTCTTCAGCCCTCCATAGCCTCATTTCCCTTTACTAAAGTGTTTATATGTCTGGTGGGAAGACTTGGAATTGAGTTTTTTCTCCCTTTTCCGCCATTACCACTCTTAACAGTGGTGCTGAAAAAGAATGCCTCAATTTTTATTCTGTCCAAACAGTATATCTCTAAAGGATTTTCCATAGTGTTTCACAATTTTCATGAGATAAATTACATCCTGAACAGCTGGAACTAGGCAAGTTAGTTGAATAGCAAGAGTCCAGCTAACTCTTAGCAAATATCATAAAGCCATTAACTTCTTTAGAAAATAGCTTTCTCTTTTATGAAGGAGAACTAGTCTTATCTTGGAAGGAGTTATACCTTTTTATTTAGTGTTAGATAAGGGAATTTGTGGTGGAAAATTTTCAGGAGAATATTACAGTAGGTGGACTGGTTTTTTGTAGCCAGGGCATTTTTTTTTTTTTCTTTCAGTAGTGAGGGCCATTTTCTTTTCTGCTGGACTTAGTAATTCTTTTTCTTTTTTAAAGTATATTTGTATTGATTTCAGAGAGAAGAAGGGAGAGGGAGAGAGAGATATAAACATCAGTGATAAGAGAGAATCATTGATTGGTTGCCTCCTGCACACCCTACACTGGGGATTGGGCCCACAACCCAGGCCTGTGTCCTGATGGGGAATGGAACTGTGACCTCTTGTTCATGAGTTGAAGCTCAGCCACTGAGCCATACCGGCCAGACCGGACTTAGTAATTCTTGATAAAAGACTAAAATAATTTGCCCTGAAATTTACTTCTAATTTACTGTTACAGTTCTTTTCCTAAAGCCTGTGGAACCTTAGACATGATGTTTAACTTTTCTGAGCCCTTTTAAAAAATATATATTTTTAAATTGATTTCAGAGAAGAAAGGAGAGGGAGAGAGATAGAAACATCAATAGCGAGAATCACCGATTGGCTGCCTCCTGCACACCCCACACTGGGGATCGAGCCCATAACCTGGGTATGTGCCCTGACGGAATCAAACTGTTACCTCCTGGTTCATAGGTCAACGCTCAGCCACTGAACCATGCCGGCCGGGCTGTTTTATTCTTTATGATAGCTCTTATAAGTTGTAAGAAGGAAATGAAATCATGTAAGTAAAGTGTACATGGCAAGCTACCTGCTAATATTTTTCATGTGCTTTTCCCCTCCAAATGTTTAATACCTAAAAAAATAGATTAGAATCTTATGATCCTGAACTGGTACAAGTGCCACTCAGACCAAAGGTATGAAAAGAAGAGATTAGTACCTCAAAGAAGGTTCTAAGACTCAGTATTTATCTTTTCAATGATTTGTTGCGAACAAAGGCAGTAACGTCAGGTTTCATTTAGGGAATAAATTGATTAGAGTGTTTATAAAAGTGATATTCTCTAACTAAGAACTGTGCAAGAAGTAAAGTTTGGGAGAGTAAGGTGTATTTGCTTGCTCTTTCCTGGGCCTGTTCAGCTGGTCAGGCAAGGCTTGATGGTTTATTGTAATTAGTATTTAATATGTTAGTGTCTCTATTTGCATAAACTAAACAATAGTATTCTATGACTGCCAATCAGGAAGCTAGATCTGAGCTCTTCTCTCTCTGGTGGTAAATGTCTGCTCCTTCTGGAAGCCAGGGCAGGTGAGTCAGCGACATTCAGTCATCTCCACTTCAGGAGTGAGAGGTCAGACAGGAAAATTTGTGACACCACCACCCTACTTCCTGATTTGCCATTCTGTTCCAGGTGCTTTGAGAAAAGAAGATAGTTTGGTAAAAGTGCCTAATAGGAGATTTTCTCATATGCTATTTTCCCCTTTTTATTGAATTTATTGGAGTGACACTGGTTAACAAAATTATGCAGTTTTCAGGTACACAATTCCACAACACATCATCTGTACATTGTATTGTGTGTTCACCACCCCAAGACAAGTCTCCTTCCATCACCATTAATTCTCCCTATACTCTCCTCCGCTTTCCCCCACACCCCCCTTACCCCAGCAGTCACCACACTGTTGTTTGTATACATTAGTTTTTTCTTTCTTTTTTTTTTATTAAATATTTTATTGATTTTTTTACAGAGAGGAAGGGAGAGGGATAGAGAGTTAGAAATGTCCATGAGAGAGAAACATCAATCAGCTGCCTCCTGCACACTCCCTACTGGGGATGTGCCCGAAACCAAGGTACATGCCCTTGACCGGAATCGAACCTGGGACCCTTTAGTCCACAGGCCGACGCTCTATCCACTGAGGCAAACCAGTCAGGGCATCTAAGAAGCCTTTCTTGACACTCCCACTTGCCTGCCCAGCACTCTGGCTTCTCCTTCCCAGCAGTTACCACATATTCTTGTGATTGCCTTGAACTAGTAGGGAGCATCGAGCTTCCTGAGCATGTGCCTGAGTCTGTCCACGGTTCTCAAAAATGTATGTTAAATGAATGAATAAAAAAGAATCCTAACAGCCTTTATAGCTCATTGTTTGTTGCATGACTAAGCAGCATCAACTAAAATAGTTATGTAAACAAAAAAGAGGAAGAGAATTTCTAATAACTTTTTAGGCTTCTTCATATGTACAGGTTTTAAGTAGACCTAGGAATAAACAGGAAATGATAGTATCTGTGGCAATTAAGGGGCTCAAGTTATGAGCCCTGTTATCAAGTTTAGTTCATGCATTCTCTTCCTCAAAGCAAGTATTAGCCTGCTTTACTCCTCAATGAACCTCTAGAATGTTTGGGAGAAGGATGGAATATTTTAACATGCATGGTCTTCACTCTCAGAGCCCAGCGACCACCTGTCTCTGCCCCGACAAGCATGTGGGGCGGGAAGCTGTGGCGGTGCCTCGGGAGGTTGTGGGTTTCAGTAGGCGGACAACTCAGGACACGTGAACACATGCCAGCACATACTACATGCAGCTCTGTTCCGGTTGGGGCGCGGGGCGAGGGGGTGTCGTAGCGGGAGTGCACCCGGCCTCTCTGGACCCGAGTTTTTTCTTTTTTCTTTATTACTCAAACCTCCAGCCTCCACCCCTCACCCCCGAACAGCTGTCAGCCTGCTCTCTATCTATGAGTCTGTCTCTATTTTGCTTGGTAGTTCAGTTTGTTCATTAGATTCCAAATATGAGATTCCAAATATGAGTGAAATCATATGGTACTTGTCTTTCTCTGATGGGCTCATTTCACTTAGCGTAATGCTCTCCAGGTCAATCCATGCTGTCACAAAGAGTAAGATTTCCTTCTTTTTATGACCTAGTAGTACTCCATTGCGTAAACCTACCACAGTTTTTTTATCCGCTCATCTACTGACGGACACTTGGGCTGCTTCCAAATGGTAGCTATTATAAATAACTAGAGGCCTGGTGCACAAAAATGTGTGCACTCGGGGGGGTTGGGGAGGGAGGGGTCCCTCAGCCCGGCCTGTGCCCTCTTGCAGTCTGGGACCCCTCGGGAGATAACGACCTGCTGGCTTAGGCCTGCTCCCGGGTGGCAGAGGGCAGGCCCAATCCCTA